TCCCCCTCTCTTTTTATCATTTCTTTCTTTATTTATTTCTTTATCTCGTCGCCGCGTTTTGAAGCCCTCTGCGAAACGCCGGCGGTGGCAAAGGCGAGGAGAAGGAGTTAGCTGGCCTGGGGACATGCTTTAGCTGTTCCTGCTGCCGCGCTCGGGCTTCGCGCCAGCTGCCCGCCGTGCGGGGACCGCGGTGGGCGGCAGCCTGGGGCCGGAGGGGCTAGAGGACGAGCAAGAGCGGCCCTGGCGGAGGCTGGAGTTTGTAGGTAACGAGCGATCTTGGAAACTTTGTGGGGAGACTTCAGGGTGCTGGGGGGCGGGGAACAGAGGAGAAGACAACGTCCTGTCATATAAGGTGCTGTTTTGCAACTGTCGTGTCTCTTAAATGCAGCACATTTGAATTGTCCTTAGCCTGGTTTGAGAAATGAACTTGGGCGCTAGGCAGAAAATACGTGCTTGGAGGTTACCTTTATTGGCTCAGCCTGGTCAGGCAGGTTGTGCTTTTGCCAGTCGGTTGGTCAGAGGAGAGTCCTATACCCTTGGAGTGAGGAATGGGTCAGTGGGAGCTCCCCCTGTATTTGCTTTGGTGGTCTGATGAGAAAAACATGTTCTTGATTGTCCCTACGGGGCTGTCCACTTGCTTTCTGAAAAGCAAGTGGAAAAGATGGCATTCAAAAAGTAATGGAAAGGAGTGCTAAAAGGTATTGCCTTGTATTCATATTAAGATTAGCACAGCCTCACTGATACGAGTAGCTGCTCCTAAACTCTCTGATGGAAGGAGTACAGGATTCGTCAGACAGGATTATCTGGAATAATGATGTTTGGCACTTTGGTGGCATTGGATGTCTTAGTAGTACTGCACAAATAAAGATGTTGCATAAGTTTTGTTGGGAAGAAAAGTTTTAATCAAACTGTACTTGTATTATAGAACATGCACGGACTTTCTTATTGGCATCTAACACTGATAATTGGGTTGAACTTCACATGGTCTTTGCAGGTGGCAAAACTGATAAGCTATAAAAAGTGTTTCCTTTATAAATTCTGAATCGCTGACAATATTGAGGCTACCTTGTCTCATGCTGAAACTGACGGCGGTTGTGGTTCATGTGATGTAGTCACAAGTCCATGCAAAGCTAAACCAGTATCATAACCTTTGTTATTTGGCATGAGCTATCAAGCAACCATTGGCTCTTAGTTACTTTTAGTGGCAACTTTTTGGATTTTAAGTAGCACAATGTAGCGTTTCAGAAGGATGAGAGTGTGCGCAGACCTTGTGAGAGGTTTGTAAACGTGCGTAGCCAGCACGCTCCCCTTTCTTTTCCCATGTTTGGAAGGAACACTTGGCATAGTCCAAAAAAAAGTTCTTATCAATCTGCTGATGCCTTCTATTGACTGTCATCCTCTACAATCAGGTGGCATAGGGAGTTTTGGCTGCCTATTACAAACCTGTACATCCTGAAAACCTTGTGGTTTTCCCACTTGCTTTTCAGTAGTTCTTTAATGTCTTCATTTTCTATTCATACCCCTCAATACTGTAGTCGTCTTAAAGGGCATTATGAATTTTAAACCATGGAGAAAGGGTTGCATTTCAGTTGTGATTTTGTATTGTTATGCTTTTAATATTTTATGTGTTGAGTGTTATAAAAATATTAGAGAAGATAATGGCCTACAGCAGAGTAAGATACATGGCCTAGGATATTGATCTTGTTCTAGAAAATAGACTGTAGTGCTCACTGTTGACCCAAAGTAGTCAAGGAGGGCAATGTAAATTTTCTTAGTATTTTTTTAGAAGAAGCTCTTACTTCAAAATTGCAAATAGCACTTTTTTTCTCTTTACTTTGCTTTAGCTTACCTGCTGAGATTTGAGTTCTGAGTTCTGTTTCTCTTGCACATGGTATATTTCTGGCAAGGGGAAAAAAGAGAACACCATACATCTTGGAAAATAAATGGACTTGAATTCATATTTATTATAAATACAAACATATTTTCTTACAGCATTTTGGAATTTTAATATTTTTAATTTAATCTGACTGCTTTTGCAAAATCTCCCTGAATCTTTAATTTGTTTGTTTTTTAGTTGAGTGGACAGGGGAGTCAATTTAATCAAACCATTGTTTATTTTTATAGCTATGTATGCTTTTTTTGTAATTTTTTTTAACAGGCCTTATAAAGTATATAAAAGTAAAATCTCTACCTTTGGGGTGTAAATGGTACTTAAAAGGCCAATTGCAAAGACATCTTGTGGGGGGTGTGTGTGTGTGCGCACCTCCGAAACCATAACTACTCTAACAGTTTGTCCGCATAAAGACTTGGACGTTTGTGAGAATGCTCTTTATGAGTAAAAGTATTTTCCTTTATAACAGATAATTAAAATAGCACAAGGCTTTCACTGTAGTGGTCTTAGTTGAGTGCTTTTGAATTTTTCTAGTATGAAGAAAAAAGATCAGAATGATACTGCATATACCAGTCATATACCCTAGTTAGCTAGATCTCAGTGTAGTCCTGCTGCAAAACTGTGTTGTATTAAAAGCCTCAGTCATTTAAAAAATAATTTTAGCCCAAGTGAAATGACAGTGGTTTTTTTCTGAAGAAGCATAAAGAAATATTAAAAATCATTATATTACATTATATCAATACACAATTAGAATAGTAAGCTTTGGGAAATTTTGTTGACTTTTTTTTTTTTTTTAAGAAAGAATGTCAGCAGCTTTTTATTAGTGAAGAGCCACTTGTTATCACCAATGTGCACGTGAAATGGAAAGGGAACAGATTCTGGAAAACAACTTCTGTTTCAACCTTGCAAGATGCTGCATGCAGTGGTGAGTACATACGTGGACTGGGAGCTATCTCAGCATTGTTTTTGAACAACTAGAGAAGAAAAAACATTTAAGGTAGAATTTCTGTAAAGAGTGATTAATGTATCTGACATTAATCACTCTTTACATAATGTAAACTGACAAGGACAGAAATCTGAGCAAGTAGTGCAAACAGGTAGTTGATAAATGGAAAGTAGTAGCACAATCAGGAGAACAGAGTAAGTAAAATTTCCTTATGTTCCAGTATCTATTGCTGTGTTAGACTTCTATGTAAAAGTTGTATAAAGGTGTTATCCAGTAGAATTCTGAATTCTTAATATTTTAGAAGTAGAGTGCTCAGCATTTCACAGGACCAGTCCGTAAAATTAAATATTGAACGATTTCTTATGAAGTAGAATGCTGAATATTCACTGAATGAAAAAGTACTTATCCAGTAAGGTTGGGCTCTAAATCATCACTATCCTCAAAATAAAGCTAAAGTCTCTCAATCTTTAAGAGTGTGATATTTGGCATGTTTTAAAAACATTAAATTGATATGAGCAGATTGTTGTGTGACCAGATTGCATGTGGCATTGAGATGTTGCCAAATCTGATTCCACTTCCTCATACCAGTTCTAATAGTTTCTGCTTATGAAACAATATTTATTTATAAGTGCATTGCATGTCTTCTAAGTATCTAGGAAGTATAATTTCTGTGTCCAGTGAAGGGCTTCTCGTGCACAGATTAATACAAATTATAAATTCTAATCCTGATTTAGGCTTAAGATGTTACATGACTGGTTTGTGTAGTTGTCTGCTGTGTTTTAAAATGCTGTAAGTATAAACTGTAGAAACTTTTTTTACTTTGCAGATTGAAAGATGAGAACTACCAAACAGGCATAGTTTGTTCTGTGGTTCTATAGTAATCCTAATTTATTGTTTTAAGTTCAAGTTGTCTCATGCCTGTGGAAACACTAACAATATGAGATAAACTTGCAAGCATTTGGCAACTTACCTACCCCTTTCTAGAAATGCTGATATACTCTCATGGTTTTTAAAAAATTTATAAACTAAGAGATTATTCACTTAATCTTTCCAAATAGTAAAAGAAACTTGTTCATAAGTGTGTCTGCCTTGAGGAACTCAGAGTAGTTAGCAGCTACTGAAGTTGTAAGATTCTTTGGCATTTGATTCCAGGTAGCTGAAATACATGTGGAAGCGAGTTAGTCCAATATTTTCATATTTCATATTTTCGTATCTCATTAGTCCATTTTCAGTTTGTTGATAAGTATGTAAAAGGAAACCAGAGCTGCTGTTTGGTGTGCAAATTAACTGCTGGTTGAGTAACTTCTTACTCATCTATGAGTGTATAAAATCCTGGAGCTGAGAGCATTTATTATTGTGAATAGTTTAGAGTTTGATTTATTTTGCATGGAAAAACGATACCACAATCTGTCCTAATGTTATTTAGATTTAACAAAAAAATGAATCATTTGGAACTATTCTACAGCCTATGATTAAGGTTTGGAGGCAGGGTTTACTGTCTTGTTGTACGTATCCGTGCATCCAGCACAGTTATACTGTCTGAGTAAGTTCTATTGTCTGCATATAGGCTTGTATTGCCATTCATTTTTTGTTACACAAATAAGAGTGCTACATGCCTGTTTTGTTTTGTTTTAAATAATTATTTACTGGAAATGATTGAGGTAACAATTCACAGAAGAAAACACTGAATTTAAACCAGAATGTGAGTGTTCAGCTGGTAAGAAGAACTTTTGACTATTTGCAAAATCTATTTGAAAGTGAAGACTTGAATTACTGTTGACATTTCCTAGCCTCCTGTTAGTGTTACTGCTTCAGCAAGAATGTTATTAAGTCACAGCCTATATTAAGGTTTGGAGGCAGGGTTTACTGTCTTGTTGTACGTATCCGTGCATCCAGCACAGTTTCTGAGTAAGTTCTATTGTCTGCATATAGGCTTGTATTGCTATTGCTTTTTTGTTACACAAATAAGAGTGCTACATGCCTGTTTTGTTTTGTTTTAAATAATTATTTACTGGAAATGATTGAGGTAACAATTCACAGAAGAAAACACTGAATTTAAACCAGAATGTGAGTGTTCAGCTGGTAAGAAGAACTTTTGACTATTTGCAAAATCTATTTGAAAGTGAAGACTTGAATTACTGTTGACATTTCCTAGCCTCCTGTTAGTGTTACTGCTTCAGCAAGAATGTTATTAAGTACATGGCATTGGAATCACAGTGCAGGCTCATATTAAACAAAACAAAACCTTCTCACATCTTTATTCAACATCTGTGAAAAATGTTCCCTAGAGTAGTAAGGCTGAAAAATATAATGCAGAACCATTTGGATTTGAGGGGGAGGAAGAGAAGGTGGGTGTTGTGTCAAGAGACTACAAAAAAATGAATCATTTGGAACTATTCTACAGCCTATGATTAAGGTTTGGAGGCAGGGTTTACTGTCTTGTTGTACGTATCCGTGCATCCAGCACAGTTATACTGTCTGAGTAAGTTCTATTGTCTGCATATAGGCTTGTATTGCCATTCATTTTTTGTTACACAAATAAGAGTGCTACATGCCTGTTTTGTTTTGTTTTAAATAATTATTTACTGGAAATGATTGAGGTAACAATTCACAGAAGAAAACACTGAATTTAAACCAGAATGTGAGTGTTCAGCTGGTAAGAAGAACTTTTGACTATTTGCAAAATCTATTTGAAAGTGAAGACTTGAATTACTGTTGACATTTCCTAGCCTCCTGTTAGTGTTACTGCTTCAGCAAGAATGTTATTAAGTACATGGCATTGGAATCACAGTGCAGGCTCATATTAAACAAAACAAAACCTTCTCACATCTTTATTCAACATCTGTGAAAAATGTTCCCTAGAGTAGTAAGGCTGAAAAATATAATGCAGAACCATTTGGATTTGAGGGGGAGGAAGAGAAGGTGGGTGTTGTGTCAAGAGACTGCTTTGGAGACTCCTGGGTTTGTTAGCAGGCAGTGCTTGACGGCATTCTGTACAATAGGGCTGATGAATGCTCCATTACAACGGTCGATAAATTCACCCACTCTGATGTTAAAATAAAATTAATGGCAACCCACAGGTCATAGTGAATATTGTTGGCTTGTTGGTAATTTTCAGGGGAAGCTTACAAGAACTATGCATTGGTAGCATAAAAATTGCGTTTCTAATGGAGGCTAGAACTAGATTCTTGATGAAGGTTAGGAGTCCTAAGAATAATTTGAAAAACTAACCAATGTAGGTATGCACAGAATATTGGCCATTGACGTTTATTCAGCAAAGTTGAAAATGGTTAACTGTGGCCTTTCAAATCTTTTTTCTTAGCCTGTAGATAAACGTTCAGTTTGGAGTAAGTGTGCTGCATTGTGAGGGGGTTTTGAGTGGGTTTATTGTCAGTGTAAGATGCTGTATGGATGCAGTTTCACTGTGAGAGCACTACGTAAACAGCAGAATGTTCTGTCTGTGGGTCGTTTTTGACCAGTTTGTTGTTGGAAATTTTGCCCTGTGGGCATAAGGTAGACTTATGTTGTTATGCTGTATATATGTGAAATTGAAAAATGGTGTGATGAGTATATTCATATTCCACATAGCTGTCCACAGGGAAGAGCACATAAGAAATTTGAACTGTGTTTTACCCCTGAAATGAATTCTTTTGTTTATTTATTTATTCTTATCCACCTCAGGACAAAAGACTGCTGTGTGCAGTTAAGCAGGCCAGTCTGATTAGAAGCAAATCAGGTAGCAGCTTTAGAATATACGTAAGAGACAAGCAGCACAGGATACTGCTTTTGAAAAAAGCAGCAGCTGTACATTTTATGTACTGTGCTTCCATAGAGATGGGACTGTACATAAATAGGCCAATATTTCCAAACAGCTGTCAAATGTTCAAATTAAATGTATGTTTTGGGCACCTGATTTTCAGTATATTGAGCTGCCATAATTCTAACCAAACTTACAAGGAGTTGCATTTTCTCAAGATTATAAATCCTGTAATAAATCCCGTGGAAGTGTAATAGTGATTATCCTTTAAGAATATAGAATTGTTCAGTTTGCAGCTATCATTCATTTTATTTCTCTTCTACATGGTATGCGTGTGTGTGTGTATATATGAACACATAAATATGAGAAAAAAAAAAAAAAGAATAGGATGTCCCCTCTCTGTGTTGTTCCTGATAGCCCTGGAAATACAAGGCTTACAGCAAGAGGTGTGGTTACACAGCATGGCCTGATCTGATCTAGCAACTGTTGTTAAAAGATCTGTCAGGCTCCCTCTTCATGCTTCTTTCCTTTGCTACCATCCATGTCTTTCTATCCTTCCTTTTTGCTGCCCCTTAGTGAATCTGTTCAGCTATCTCTAGCTATGGTTTTCCTGTGTTACATTTCTACCAGCTTAATAAGCTGTATTGTTTCACAGAGGCTGTGTCTACACTAGGGAATAAAATATGTCAGGGACTGGTCTCTGGACCCAGAACAAAGTGGCAAGATTGCACACACCTAACAGTCTTCCTCCTGAAACAGCGTGGTTGCGTCCAAACTGCCAGGAGGGAGCAGTTTACTGCTCTGCATTTGCTGTCTCCTTAACCATGCCTGCACATTTGTCTGGGAGAGTGCCAAGCTGGTATGGGCCAAAATGGTGTCAGAGAGGATGTTAACAGCATGGCTCGAGCCTGTGCTCTGGCCTCATTTTATTTACTATTATAGATGTGGCCAGAGAGGTCAGACAAGTGCGTGAGCCAGCACAGGCAGGATGGAGCTGTGTGGCTGGAAATGAAGAAGGGAGAGGAAAGGTGCAGGGTTGACAATGTCAGGGAGCTACGGAAGGGATATCCTTTTGATGTCAGGGAGCTATTACATTACTTAAGCTGGCTTGTCTAGCTGTACCCTTAATGTAACTTTATTTTGCAACCAACAACTTCAGTCTGGCTCTGCAGAGGGCTGAGAGTGCTATGTCCCTCTAACAGCTCTTTCAAAGTGATTCAGT